ACACACACACACACACACACACACACACACACACACACACATATTCTTATTGATTTCAGAGAGAAAGGGAGAGGGAGAGAGAGCTAGAAACATCAATGAGAGAGAATCACTGATAGGCTGCCTCCTGCACGCCCCCTGCTGGGGATCAAGCCTGCAACCCGGGCATGTGCCCTTGACTGGGAAACAATCAGAGCCACACCAGCCCGGCCCAAAGTGGCCTTTGACTCCTGCACAGGTTCGACAACATGTGATAACTCAGCTCAGCATCTTTCCCCGGAAGCTTGCTCCTCCAGGGTTCACCACGGGGTGGGGGACAGTCCCCCTCGCCACAGGGCCAGACCCCAAGTGCTGTCCCTGCCTCTCAATTCCCCGAAGGCTGCTGCTCCTGCACCGCGGCCTCATCCCCTCCTCTCCCTCCACAGCCTGCGCAGGCGCAGCTCGCATCCTGGACGTGAGCTCTTCTTCCAGCCTCCTGCCCTCCACCTGCAGAAGCCCGAGCTCCTCCATGGGGTGCTAGAGGGCCCTTCGGGGTGACCTGGCTCCATGGGGGGATTCTGAGGGGCCTGGGCCATTACGGAAAATTCGAGGCGCCTTACTTATCTGCAGGAACCTCCAAAACGTTATGGGAGGCTCTGAGGCAGCGGTTCTCAACCTGTGGGTCGCGACCCCTGAAAATACATCCTGCATATCAGTTATTTACATTACGATTCATAACAGTAGCAAAATTACAGTTATGAGGTAGCAACGAAAATAATTTTCTGGCTGGGGGTCACCACCACATGAGGAACTGTAGTAAAGGGTCGCGGCATTAGGAAGGTTGAGAACCACAGGGTCTGAGGGATCACAGGAGTCCCAGGGAATTTCTCAACACCGGGGGTCATGGAGCACCATCAGCATTTTCAGCGGCCCGAGGACTCACGGTGGGCCCACGCGACACTCCGAGAGGTGGCGAGGGATCACGGGGGGCCCATGAGGGCACGCTGAGGGGCTGTAGGTAACGAGGAGGACTGATGGATTCCGGGGTTCCGAGAGCCCCCCGAGATCACAGAAGCCACACAAGTACAGAGGAGCCTGAGGACTCACGGGGACTCCACGGAGGGTCCGAGTGATTAGGGGGGCCCCATGAGAACTCTGGGGGTGCCCTGGAGGCCCATGGCGGCACAGGATGTTCTCAGGAACCCTGGGAAGTCTACGGGGGTTCAGAGGTTCCCTGGAGGTTCTGATGTGGCTCCGAAGAACCAGTCGCACCCCTCCGGGTGGGGCGGGTCTGAGGAACCGGGGAAACACCGCCTCGAGCTCGGGCCGTGGGGCACGAGGACCCGCTAAAGGGCTGAGAGGCACAACCGCAAAAGCTCCCGGGAAGCTGGTCCAGGGGCGGCGGGAATCACGGAAGCAAAGAAGGGCGCAGTCGCGGAGCTGCCGCGGAGGATCACGGGAGTCAGCGGGCAGAACCCGCGCGGGGGGGGAAAGGGGGGGGAGAGAAAGAGGGAGGGGCAGCACCGGCCCACAGGCCCTCACCAGCGCGCATGCGTGGCTCTCCGGCGCGGGTCCGTACTCCAGCGTGGCGAAGATCTCTCGGGTGCGGGACCCCGCGCGCGTGGCAGCCATCACCCGTCCAGACCGCTTTCCACCAACTGCCGGGCGCTCTACCCGAGGGAACTTCGAGGTCCGGAGGGCGGGGCCGCCCCCTCCAGGGCAAAGGGCGGGCCGCAGGAGATAGAGCGTGATCCAACCTTAGGACCCGGCGACCCCGCCCACGTAGTTTGGAGCATGCGCAGTCCTCAAAATGGGGGGACGGAAGAGAAATTGCGTGTGCCTTGCAAAAACGGAGAGTTCCAGATTTAGAAGGGTGGCCGTGTTGGTGTGTCTTCCCAACACCCTGTTCACAAAACTACAGCTTTCGGCCCGAAATACATTTATTAGAGAATCGAGTCTAGCTCTGGGGCAGTTCAGAGATCAGAAGGGAATCTTAGGATGGACACTGAAATGAGGGATTGACTGTCCCGTAACCTGGCCTGAGGGAGCGGTCGGGAAGGAGGGGGAAGTTTGCCTTTAATCGACAGCGGAAGTGTGGCATTAAGGGAATCAGCCTCAGAATCTAGTTTTGATTGGTTGAGGTGAGAGGAGGCGTGGCCTCGTACTTAGACTCTGATTGGTCAGTAGCGCGGTTGCTGGTTAAAGTACGAGCGCTGAGGGAGTCGGAAGTGTGGCGAACTCAAATTTCTGTTACACAGAGACCGGAAGAGTGGCTGTCATTTAAACATTTGGCGTGTTGGAGCATCGAGAGATACTGTCCCCCAACAGGTTTGACGACGGTACCTGATCTGAGTGGAACTGTAGCCTCCCGGCCAGATTCTTCGATTCTCATATACAACAGTGGGTGTCGGAGTCTGTTGAGGGCCCGGGAAGCCGGCCCCAGAGTTCCGATCCCAGCAAAGGCTCCTTCACGTCGGGGTTGCTGGGGACGCCTAGGTCTCTCCCCCGGGGCCATGGCGGACTTGAAGCTGCTGGTGCCGGAGCTGAACGAGGCGGAGGCCATGGGCGCCGAGACTGCCCGTTTCCAGGAGCTGCTGCTGCAGGTGCGCACTGACCAGGACTCCTGTGTCCCTGGTTATTTGGGGGATTTTTTTTTTTTTTCTCCCTGAGATGGGATTGAAGTTCCCAGAATGCACTAGAGAGGCAACAGGGCTTCTGGGAATTGTAGTTGGTTAACTCCAAGTTTGCTAGGCTTTGGAATAAATGGGAGTAAGACTGGGGTTGTTCTTTGGGTCCCTCAAAAGAGGACAGGGACATAATATGTCTTATTCCCTGCGTGGCTCATATCCATAAACATTGCTCAGTAAACATTTGAGCAACAAATGGGGGTCTGATAGCACAGACCCCAAGCCTGGAAGTCATGTTCCTTCACCCAGGCCTCCAAGGAGCTCCAGCAGGCCCAGACGAGCAGACCAGAATCAACACAGATCCAACCTCAACCAGGTGAGGAAGGCAGAAACCCAAAGAGAGCGAGCGGTTTCCAGGGAGAAGTGGAGAGACACTGGGGTCAAAGGACACAGAGGAGGGAGGAAAGGGACATCATAAGAGGGTTTAGAAGCCTTGGTGGGGAAGTGAACAGAGACCCAGAGGGAGATCCAAAGAGGGGTGGGGGGAGGGGGATGGGAGTGACTAGGGGGACAGAGACTCCAAGATGGAAAGAGAGTCAGAGATCCCAGGCGTGGGGAGGGGGACAGAACCAGAAAGTGGAGGACTGAGACTCAAGGAAGGGGACAGATGGAAGGAAGGACAGACTGGGGAGAGGATTGATGGAAATCAAGACCCACATGGAGACATGGTCAGGACCAACCCATTCCCACCAGGCTTCTGCGTAAAGACCAACTCATCCGAAGGGAAGGTTTTCATCAACATCTGTCACTCTCCCTCCATCCCTCCTCCGGCTGACATGACCGAGGATCAGCTGCTTCAAATGCTGGAGGAGGACCAAGCCGGGTTTCACATCCCCATGAGTCTGGGAGAGCCTCATGCTGAGCTCGATGCAAGTCAGTACCCTTGGGGGACCCAGGACCCCCGCCCCCTAGGTCCTTCCTTCCCCAGGACCCCAGAATCCAGGGCCCAGGACTCTCCTCCTGCAGGACCTAGAAAGCCCCTGATCTGATCCCTTCCCCCAGGCATGCCCCTAGCCTCCTGGGCCTGCTGCAGCGGCCGCCTGGGGCAGTCCTGGTTCTGCCCACCTGGCCAGGCTGGCACTTCTCTTTGCCTCCCTCCAGGGTGAGGGCGGGCAGGCAGATGTTTTATTAGCCCATCTTCTGGATCGAGGCCCAGGCCAGCTCTCACCCTCATCTCTGTTTTCTCCTTCACCCTGTCCCCTGTCTCTGTCTCTCTGCCCCTCTCACCTCTGTCTCTGTGGCATTTCTGTCTTTATGTCCTTGCTTGTTCGATTCACATATGTCCCCTGGAGCCTCCTGGGACCACGTTTTGGGTGGTGCCCCGGGGAGTAGGGACTTATCAAACCCAGAACTTGGGGTTTCAATACTGTGTGATTCTTGCTGCGCCGGAGGGGGCGCTTGGCCCACGTCAGGGAGGGCTTCCTGGAGGAGGAAATGTCCAACTTAAGATGAGAAGGAACCGGAGGGGTTCATCGGGTCAAGACAGAAGATTCCCCAGACATCACAGCCCCACAGCCTTTCACACCCGACAAAGCCCGATATTGGCCCCATGTCCCCTCCCCTGGGGCCGGGCCAGGGGCAGCCAGCACGGAGCTGCTTCCTTTTTTTCATTAATGGTCCTAAGTCAGCGGTTCTCAACCTTCCTGATGCCGCGACCCTTTAATACAGTTCCTCATGTTGTGGTGACCCCCAACCATAAAATTATGTTCGTTGCTACTTCGTAAGTGTAATTTTGCTACTGTTATGAATCGTCATGTAAATATCTGATCTGCAGGATGTCTTTTCATTGTGACAAATGGAACATAAAGCATAGTGATTAATCACAAAAACAACATGTAATTATATATGTGTTTTCCGATGGTCTTAGGCGACCCCTGTGAAAGGGTCGTTCGACCGCCAAAGGGGTCGTGACCCACAGGTTGAGAACCGCTGCTTTAGTGCTTTCTCCTTGCCTGTCTGAGCGGTGGGGCTGCCCCGAGGGCGGGGGGCCTCACCCCTTTCTCTCCCCGCAGAAGGCCAGGGTTGTACCGCCTACGACGTGGCTGTCAACAGCGACTTCTACCGCAGGATGCAGGTTGGGGGCGTGGCTGCGGGTGAGGCCTGGGCAGGGGCCGCTCCCTTTACCCTCGAGCCCTCCCGCAGCCCTGCTCCCCGCTCTGTCCTAGAACAGCGATTTCCTGCGCGAGCTGGTGATCACCATCGCCAGGGAGGGCCTGGAGGACAAATACAGCTTGCAGCTGAATCCAGGTGAGGGGGCCTGGGCGGTGTGGGGGCCGCCCTTGGGAGAGGCGGGGGAGTGTGGCTAATGGCTTAGCCTCTAGGCTGCGATCCTGGGGGCAGTGCGAGGCTCCCCAAGGTGCGCGGGGTGTGTGGGGTGTGTATGTTAGTGCTTGTGGAGCGGGACCTGGCCCGTAATCTAGGTAAAGGGCGGGGTCTGGACAGCGTGGGAGCCGTGGAGTTCGGAGCGTCTCCTAGGATCAGATTTTATTGGCTAATATTCCGGGAAGGGCGGGGACTAGGTGGGCGCGCCTCCTAAAGCCAGGCCTGGGGGTGTGGTCAAGTCCCTTGCCACCTCCACCCTTCTCCCCTCTGGGGAAGCCCTCCTGGTGCTAGACGCCCCCCTGGCGCTCTTGCCAGTGACCTTGACCCCGCCCTCCCTCTCCCCGCAGAGTGGCGCCTGTTGAAGAACCGGCCTTTTATGGGCTCCATCTCCCAGCAAAATATCCGCTCCCGCCAGCGTCCTCCGATCCAGGAGCTGGGGAACGTGTTTACCGCTGACTCCTTGAGGCCCGCGGAAAGGTGGGCTGTCCTGGGTCCCTCTCTCCTGTCTCCCAGTGCTCTTTGCCATCCCTCCCTCCCCAAAGGGGCGGTGTCCTGGGGCTCTGGGAACCCCCAGACCACCCCGAGGCCGCATGCTGGCGAGAAAGGAGGGAGCCACATGCCAGGCAGGGGCAGCAGCCCCCGAGGACCTGGGGGCCCCTCAGTTCTGGCTCTTGTTCCTCCTCAGCCCTGAGAAGCCTCACCTGAACCTCTGGCTGGAAGCCCCTGACCTCCTTTTGGCGGAAATTGACCTCCCCAAGCTGGTGGGTGTACCCTCCACCGGAGCTGGAGAATGAGGTTGGGGTGTGGGAGGGAGAGTGGCCGGGGCTGGTTGCCAGCCCGTTAGTGCTGCCGTCTGAGTTTAGGGCCCTCGGGCCCACTTCCGGGGCTGTCCCAAGGGTACCCAGGGCATCGTAAGTGACCCAATGTGGAGAACTGTAATTACCGTACCGCCCCTCCCTTTTCCCTGGAAGGTTAGAGCCTTTAAATATGGTCTCCCAGCACGTGAGCCTGCTCTCTCGGCCCATGTTTTCATCATCCTGTGTCCTGTTGCTGGAAGGGAAGGCGGGGGCTGATTGCAGTCTATCCCCAGGATGGAGCTCTAGGGCTGTCGCTGGAGATTGGGGAGAACCGCCTGGTGATGGGGGGCCCCCAGCAGCTGTACCACCTGGATGCCTACATCCCCCTGCGGATCAACTCTGATGAGAGCAAGGCGGCCTTCCACCGGAAGAGAAGGGTACCTGGGG